TTTTTGTTGTTGTTGTTTTGCATGACTGGGCCTTTATATAGGTTTATAGGGGCTTATTCTACTTTCAGGACTACATAGAATATAAACATTTTAATGTCAACATGTATACTATAGGGTTTTTGTAGCCCCACAAAATAATACAATAAGGAATCAGACTGCATGAATATTAATATTGAAGACTTACAGCCGATTTTTCAGCTATACATCGGTATGGTGTTGTATGAAAGATTTACATAATACAGGAAATAAAAACCGGTTTACTGGTTCATCCGGCCAATACATAATCCTAAATATTACATAGTGGACTTTTAAATGACCGTCTATATGGACTCTCATCAACTAAATTAACAAATCTTAAGGGTTACGCAAGAAGGTTCATTCTTGACTTCCATGCTCAGTTGCTATTGTATATTTTTCTTGAGCTTTCAAACAATCCCCTTCAGGATTGCACGTATACGTACTGTACTTAGGACATGTTGTTCCATTTGCGGAAGAATGCAGTACGTTTTGGAAAAAGGGATTTCAAATATCACAGATACTGTCTAGAAAGTCTGTTGCCAATGGTTAAACTTCACCCCAGTGCTCCCAGTTGCTTCTTGTCCACAAAATACATGTTATATTTAAAAATAATTTAAGTTTAATGAAGTTCTGTGTTGTCCATTTGTCAAGTGTAGTGTTGGACACCAAAACAACAACAACAACAACAACAACAACAAACAACCACTGTGTTTGAATATTAACCAATAAATTTATTGAATTTAAATGATATATTATTATTTTAAAACATAGGAGTTTGGCAGTGTGGAAGACCCACAGACAGCCTGGAGTTTTTTTTTTTTTTTTTGCAGAAGTATGATATGGTCACAATAACACTACTACTAATAATAGCACTATTCTTTATACAACTATATTATATTAATTTAAGTATACATTATGTACCACAAGCGAGCAGAGTTTCATATGGAAAGCATCACAAAAAATGAACTTAAGTATTTAAATGTGTGTCATTTCAAAATGCAGTACATGGCCAAAACATTTGTTATCATCAATTTAAAAAAATACTGCTAATCCAAATCAATTCACATACATTAATTGGCATTTATCTTTTTTTTTATTTTCCCTTTGTCAATGGAAAAATATTCATGTGGAAATGAATTAGAGAATAGTAGAATATTCCCTCATATCTTTCAGTAGGTATGCATTTATTTGATCAAACTGTCTCACTGGTTGTTTAGATATTGTCACTGATTTGGGTAAGCCCAATCAAAAAGTTTGCTGAGGTTGAGTAATACCTCCGCTTTTTACCTTGTTAGTTTACCTACTTACTTGCAACATATATCATTAATATTAATATGTATTAAAAATTGTAATAAACTTTAAATGGATGAAAACAAATATGAGGTATTCTGGTCTCTTTCAAAATGTCCAATTTATAATTATGCAGGAGGCCATTTAATAAGTGCACATATAACAAAATAGGTCAAGTTCCAGCTTGATCTTTTCATAAGTAGGAGGTTTCATATCAGACAATCCTAGTCCAAATTCCATATTTAGCTACCACTTAGCTCACCCAAGCATGAATACATGAAATATCATATACTATTTAATATGTTTGGGAGTTTAGGGCTGCTTTATACATACATTTTAGTTAAATCTGTGACTTTTGTGCACTAAGCAGCAAAATAATTCTGATATTTTTGTTTATGGTGGGAGAAGTTGTGAAATATAGAGTTTTATAATAGCAGGTACATGTTAGTCCAGCTGTTTTAGAGCCACAGGAATGTCCTCTTCTCTTGGGAGTCACACTGGAGGATCTGAGCCGGAATAAAACATGAATAGTTGACAGTCCTGTCAGTGTAGTCTTAACTCCTTAGTGGCTCAACAAGGGGACTCCACATAGTCATTGTCCAGACGTGGGTGGAAGGGTGACGCCAGTGAGCGACTGATGATTATAACTCGAGGTGCAAGGCAGTCATCACGGCGATGTAAAATGTTCCAGATGAGCATGGCCGCAGCCATCGTGGCCAGCAGGCAAGCAGCTATGTCCAAGTAGCAGGAGTAGGACAGGTGTGTGTAGGGCCCAATCCTGTAGAATGTCACAAGTCCAATCACCAGCACGAAACCTGTATAGGAGCACAGAGAGACAAGGCTTCAGTCAGTGAAAATGCACTGCTATCCTTATTTCGTTGAATATATTTATTGAACTTTTAGCAATTTAAGGTTTTTCTAATCGCTGTGCTGTCTAAGCAGTGTCATGTTTCACATTTAGACAAATGGGTAGTGTTCGTGTTTAGTACTAATGCAGTTACTAGGAGCTGCCAAGTACAAACGTGTGTGCTGTTGTTGGCTACTGAAGATTGGCAAATTAGCACTAAACTAAAAAACTTTGGACATAGTATTGGACATACTAAAATGTTGACTTGATGGTGGCACTAGACGAAAGGTTAAGGGATCACCAAAGTCATTACAATCCATCCTGATGGTAACAAGACTGTCTGTGTTTTCATTTCAGTTTCATGGCAATCCATCCAATATTTGTTTAGACATTTCACTCAAATTTGTGAACCTCATGGTGGTGTTAAATAAAAAGTCTGTGGATCACCAAAATCAGTAGGATT